ACACATCCAGTTACATATTTATGGAATTTTGTGTATAGGTTTACACTTTGGATAGTACATTACCTTAATTGGTATGCTAATTTTGAAAAAAAATCAGCTCTCGCATTGATGTTTTTTCTTAACAGTTTGTTGCAAGATAATGGTTTATGTCTTAGCCTCAGATTATGCTTTTCTCAAATGAGATAGTTTGACAGATATCTACTTTTTATTGTCTTTTTATTATAAAAACAGCAGATTCTATGCATTCCATAACTCTTAGCTAAACTATTTTACTTATTATTCCTGACATGTTAATAACTTTTTCCTAGTTCCAAGATATTTGAAGCTTAGTAAAATCATTTCATACATACTGTCACATACTCTCGAAATGGAGTTGCTGTATTTGAAAATAGCATACCTGGACACATAAGTTTAGAATGTAGTGTTTTGTTACTCAATAAATTTATATGGCTCTTTCTGTCCTTACATATGAGAAATAAAAACATGCTGATAAGTGTAAGAAGTTTAAATATTGTGTAAATATGAAACTCCTAAAAATACACACATTTGTTATTGTAAAAGATTGCTACAAAGTGCTTCTTGTTAATTATGCTTAGCACTTTTTCCTTATCTTTTAGAGAAGGGTTGTTATTCTCTTGCTATCATATTTTCAATTGACTCTATTCTAAAAATGTCTTCATTTTTACATCTACATTTGCCTAATGGAAATTCAACAAATGTCAGAAACACTACCATTTGGTAATGTTTCATACCTACTGATGTATCTTTCCTCATTGTGTTATTTTAAAAAGTATGTCTTTACACTTTTTTTTTTAATTCAAATTCTGTGAGGTCATTTTAGTGTAGGAAAAATGATGACTGGTGAAAATAAATTGGTTTTAAATCTGATATCAAATCATGAGATTCATTGAAATTCTACCACAAAGGAAAAAAAATTCCTTCTTAATATATAATGGAAATCCTATAAAATTTTGTGCTTTGAGTCTTAATCAAGATCCAAATTCCTGTACTCCAAGCAATTCTGACAGAAAGTTTGGTTTCTCCTGTTACTGAACTGGTATCACTAACCCTTTTCACATACTTCATATAAGTTTCTGTGGGTCTACGTACTTCTTTATCCTGTTGGGTGGTTCTTCATTGCCACCATAACAAATTACCACACACACACATACATACTCACACATTAGACAGTGTTCATTTATTACATCTTATTTTTGTGCATTGGAGTCTATACCTGGGGAGGCCAAGTTGAATCCCTTGCTGATGTCTTCACACACTAAATTCCTATTACCTGGTGTAACCTCTGAAACTCTGGGGAAGAACCAATTCCAAGGTCATTCATGTTATGATGGGACTGATGCCCCCACTTTCCTGTTTAGGGTTCCTTTTCATTCCTACTTCCCCATATTTACTAGTATTTCACACTTGACCACTTTGCAATGGTTGACTTGATTCCTTTTCATGATTGGGACCCCTTTGAATTGTTCTGTAGCTTCTCTTTGACCCTGAATAGGGAAATGCCCATGTCCTTTCAAACTCATGAGACTAACTGAACCCACTGGGAAAAATCCAAGAGAATCTATTTTAATATATATAACCATAATTATAACTACCATAGCCCTTTTTATCATGTAATTTAAAAATTGCTTTGTTTCCAACATTAGGGCATACATATTTTTTGGAGCCATTCTGCTTACTGTGCTGTTTAAGCACAAAAATAAACCCTGTAGTTTCTCACTTAAAGTTTATTTTTATATTTGAATATTTCTAAAAGCTGGATGATAAATGAATATTAATACTTGGTAGAGATTCTACTGAAAATTCATGTTAATTAGGTCCACTATATGCAATATTTGTTTTCTGTATTTTCTACTTTGAGACAATTATTATTGGTTGCTATTCCTTGGTAAAAGCTCAGTCTTAGTCTGAATGTATTTTATCTTACTTTGATATTCATAAAAATTACAATTTAAGTGCCTTAACACATAATTGATTCTTTAAAATGGGCATTATTTATTTGGATACGTTTCTTTAATTAACTTCAGGTTGGATAGTTAATTAAGTACATCAGTAGAAGAATGAGCGGATGTAGTGAAATTCTTGAGTTAATTTAGTAGAACAAATGCATGAATCAGAGAAATCATTGTATTTGAAGAGCAGCATTCATATATCTTTTTTCATTTACTTTAACATATAACTTTATCTGAAAACAACTGACTTTGTTAGAATGTGATGAGATGAGAGATGATCTTTGCTGTGTGCTACGTATCCTGTGTGCCATAGGTCCTTTCTTCCTAGCATATTGAACCCCAAGGGAAGTATAATCAGATTTTCTGTATTGAAACGTTGTAAAAGGTGAAAGACAAAAAAGAAAGATTTGATCTAGCATGCAGTTAATTCGTTCATAAGGTGCAGGCACTGGCACTTCAGTTTCTGACCCTCTTAAAGCATGTGACTTGATACAATTAAGAACTAAAGAGAAGGAAATAGACAAAAATCAGAAGTGAAGTCATTTACTGATAACGATTTTTGCACAGAAGATGGAAACTACATTGCAGCATACAGTATTGTTTATTCTATAAGTTTCAAAATATAATTTCCATTATATTTTAGGTGTCTTTTCCCTCATTTACCAATTACTATAATTTTGTCTACAAAAGTCTTTTGTCGTTTGTTTTGTTTTATCACGCCTAGCTGGTAGCCTGGTGGCTAAAGCCCTCGCTTTGAAGCACCTGGATCCCATATGGGCATTGGTTTGGATCCCAGATGCTTCACTTCCTATCTAGCTGCCTGTTTGTGGCCTTGGAAAGCAGTTGAGGATGGCCCAAACCTTTGTGGGAAACTCAGTTGGCTCCTGGCTTCAGACTGGCTCAGTTCCAGCCCTTGCAGCCACTTGGGAATTGAACCAGCAGATGGAAGATCTTTCTCTGATTCTCCTTCTCTTTGTAAATCTGACTTTCTAATAAAAACAAATAAATCTTAAAAAAAAGTGAAGTATCTGAACATCTGCTGGTTTTGATAAAAAAAAAAAGTGTTATATTCAGCATAAAATTATTAGTGTGGTTTTAGCATATAACTTGCAGAAATCAAGTCTCATTTTATACTGAAAACTTGCTTCAATGTATCAGATTTTTCAGGTATATATGCATAAGAAAACTCACTATCCCCTGTCTCCTTCTCTGTATCCTCAAGGGATAGAAACTAACCAAAGTGTGTTGAAACTTGAAAGATAGACACTACGGATGTTACTTGAAAATGACCTTGAGAAAAATATTCATATTACCTGTCTAATTGCTACCAACTTATTTTGAAATGGACACATGTATTATAAATCTTGATTGGAGACCAGAAACCCAGCTAATTAATTTGCTGTGCTAACCATTGCAGTATTTTCACCTGTGATGCATTCTGTTTTTTTCTACTGAAGTACAAATACAGATTCTTCTGAAGAATTGTGCAGACGACATGAGGTCATTGATGATAAAATTTGAAGTGCAATGTCACCTTGCAATTTACTTGACAAGCATTTTTCCCACGGCTATAGACCCAGGCAGCAGCCGGTGGACAGAACAGTCCACTGAGAAAGGCTTAGCATGTTCTAGGTGGAGACCTGGGAGTATGTCTCTTTCACAAGTTTTGCACTGCACATTGTAGGGTTTCCAAGTTGTGACTAAAAATAAGAATACTTCTTAAATATTTGCATGATTGAAAACATATCAGAAACATGCTTAGTCTTTAACTGTGCTATTGAATGCTTTTCAGCTACATTCCCTTCCAGGGAAAATTATCCCACTTAATCTGCCCCAGTAATTTTTGTTACTAATCTGGGAGGAGGGGGTGGGGTGGCCACTCATTTTCTGTGTCTTTCCTTCAAAAGTACCGAGCCAGAAAGAACTGAAAAATGTATATTCTGGACATGGGTACAAGTAAACACGAAGAAGTGGAAGAAACAAAATAACACCAAAGGGGTAAACATCAGACCCTTGCTTAAATGGCTTCGGTCCCATATAATTGCTTTTCTGTCAGAAGGGTTATTAACAATTTCGGACGTCTGAAAATTAAATTAACAGCCTGAAAATATTTTACAGAATAAGATAGAGCATGATACATGAAACATAATGAGCTCACTGAAACTCAGCCAAGCCAGAGCAGCTACTCATTTAGACAGAGAAGACAACTAGTTAATCATCACCAAGCAAATTAGACAGAGCAAATTAGTTTGCTACATTCCACAGCCTAAGCTACCAAAAAGAGGATATGTCACTAATTAGAATGAAGAGACTCTAATCATATTATTATCCATGTAGAGTAAAAAACAAGATTGTAGTACTTTGTACCAAAGCCTGAAGTCTGTTATATATATACTAATTATATGTACAAGGAGCTATATAAGTATGCATGTGTTCATGTTCACATTTAAGTTGCAGCAGCTTTTACATTTTCGCACATCTTGACCTAATGAAGCATAAAAATTTTTCTCAAGGTTAATTGCAATTCTTCAGATACACACATGCGCACATACCCATGAAACATACAAAGTTTGATTCCTTTAAATGACAATTGAATAGCCATTTAACACGCTTTTTCTTGTGTATTCTTGTTATTTTTTCCATTTAAAAAGTGTATTACTGTTGCAAATGAAGTAAATGTTTGTACTTAGTTTACTACTAGATATTAATCTGAAATCATATTTTCTGGTTTTAATTAGCATTCATTTATTTGGTTAACTGTCATTTTCAGCCCCACCATTTTCATTTTTCACTAACTTGAACAATGCTATCTTCTGCTGTTTGCACTTTAATTTAAATTTCTGTAAAGGTTTATGAGCAGTAATAAAGTCCTGTTTGAATATTCATTAGTTTCTGAATTGTAAGCTATGAAAAGGTGCCTTCTTTTACCTTAATGAAACTGGCACAGCGTGGAACTGATCAGTTGTGACATTTGATTTGAGGCATCCAGTGAATTTTCTCATTGTTTATTGACACATCTTGTCCAAACAGCTCCCTCGCAAGTGAGCGGAGTAATGAAGGAGAGAGTGCTGCAGCGGAGTGTGGAGCTTTCCTGGCAGGAACCAGAGCATCCCAATGGAGTCATCACCGAATATGAAATCAAGTATTACGAGAAAGTAAGTGCTGAGAGCAGGTTTAAAGTATGACGTGCTGTGTGTCCTGTGCCATCCTACCACACTGTGGGCTGAAACTGGTCATGCTGTCAGCTTTTGGGGGCTTCTTCAATAGTTTGCATTTAATTTTAGTTATTGTTGGTAACCATTTCTGTGGTTCTTTATTGTAGTTGTGATTGATATTTACTAAGTTTTTGTGTTATACACACAAAAATGGTGTTTTATATGTATTTGCTTATTCAATTTTTTATATATAAATTAGATTACAATGAGTTGAAAACAGATATGACAAAAAGTCAAGTGCTGACTTTTTCATCTCCTTAAATTGGCTAAATTTTAGTTAAGAGTGATATATCTGAGTGTGAGTGCAGAGAGACAGAAAATAATACAGAAAATTCTATACATAATCTTAGCCAAAAGGCCATAAAGCAGTATAGAAAATTCCTTCTTAAATCGCTATCAAGACTCCAACTCACAGAATAACCAGACTCAGTATATGAACATGGAAAATAATTATTATTGCTAGAGTAAAAGAGCTTTCCATGTTACCAGTATTGACTTAACTGAATTGGGTGAAATGCTTAAAACACTTAGTTAGTTTAACTATTTAGACAAATTTATACACACGAATGTTAGTCCTAACACTTTGGAAAGACTAATTGAGTCACTCTAATGTAATACGTTGAAATGCATATGTTATGTTGGCACCAGATATATTCTTTTCATTTGAAAACATCCTAATATTAGGTTGGTTTATTATTCATGTTAGCCTTAAATATTTTTAATTATTTACTTAGCAAATTCATGAATTCATAACCAAAGTTTTGTTTTCTTTGTCTCACTTTTAAGGGAATGCATTTATTTTGCCACCGAATGAGTTAGTAGAGGAATCATGGTTTCTGATTCTGTTTTTGTTGCACTTGTGCTCTAGTGAGTTGTAATAGTGTTAGCCCTTCCTGGAATTGTATCAGATGCAAAAACCATAATATGTATTTTGAAAATTATGTTCATTGGAGTGAAATTTCATACAGTACAAACTGGAAAGCTGTGATGTATACCCACACAAATACTTAATTTTTATTTTGTAAGATAGAGAATACATCTGTATTCAGCAAATTTATACATTAATAATTATTGGGAAAAACAATAGAACTTCAATATTTTCAAGCATGTGATATGTATATCATCTGTTATGATTGTGCATAATTCTTTTGAAGTAAGCACATCTTAATAATTACCAACATTTTTTTAAGATTTATTTGAAGTAGTTACACAGAGAGAGGGAGAGACAGAAAGACAGAAATCCCTTCCATTTCTATTTGACTCCCCAGGATCCAGGAGCATCCTCGGAGTCTTCGAAGCACTTGGGCCATCTGTTGCTAGTTCCCTAGCAAGGTCTTGAACTGGCTGCCAGAGTGGATGCAGGTTTTGCAAGTGTCATCTTAACTCTCCAGGCCACAATGCTGGTCTGAATTATGAGTTTTATACATGATTATGATCACATTTCATTTCTTCTAAACTGACATAATTATGTGTTTACGTTTTTGTCAACATCATGGTGATCTCTGATCAATCTGGCTGAAGTTCCAGATTTCAGCAAATAATATCTCTGTTGCATAATGTTTGATAAAGGTTTTTATTATAGACTGAATAAAAAATTGTTTAAAATGATATACTATGAAGTGAAATTTTTATATTTTAATCAAAATAGGGTGAAACCTAATGAATGTTTACATTTTCTTCATTTAAATATTGCCTTCATGAAATTTTCTGAAAGTTTTAATTTTAATATTTATTTCCAGTAATTTTATAACAACATACCTCATGCTTGGAAGATGAAATGTTATGTAAAACATAACTGTAGTATTTTAATAAATTTGCTTGAGCTTTACTTTCACATCAAAAAAATAAATTTAACGTCATTAAAATTTTGATAGCATAAATCATATTTTAATTCTTACATTAACAATTTTTGTTAACAAGTGTCTATTCAATGCAGAGTGATTTTATTCTAAGTGATTTGAACATTGCTATGGCAGGATGATGGTTGTATGAAACTGAATTATGTGATTTATAATTCTTAATTTTTAGCGCAAAAAAAGTTTTGAGAACTGTGTTGTGACATAAAGTCCTTTACGAACCGCAAATTCCTAGGTGCACTCCCACGGTGCTCATTGCAACATCTGATTATACTATGACCAGGCAAATCCCATCTCTGTGCCATGTGCCAACAGAACAAAAGTTGAAAACATCATTAGCATTTTAACTTAATTGTCTTTGAAATTTATAAACCAAAATTGGTAGTTTCACACTTTTATTTTGCTTTATAACAGAAATGACTCGACATTATATTGTCTCACAAAATAGCCTCTATGAAAACACTGCTGAATATGGATATAAGTTGCAAGAATTAGTTAATTTGTTTGTGGTTGCTGTAACAATTAACTATTCCCTGTAAATATCGTTCCCAGGATCAAAGGGAAAGGACCTATTCAACATTAAAAACGAAGTCCACTTCAGCATCCATCAATAACCTGAAACCAGGCACAGTGTATGTTTTCCAGATCCGGGCTTTTACTGCCGCTGGTTATGGAAATTACAGTCCCAGACTTGATGTTGCTACTCTGGAGGAAGCTACAGGTAAAATGTTTGAAGGTAATTACCACTTTTGGTTTGAATTCTTACTCTCATTAATTCTTGCCTATTTTTCCAGTATTGGAAATGATAATCAAGATAAATTTCACTTGCAAAGTGAAATAAAGTGAAATTTATGTGCATCAATATTATGTGCATCTCAGATATTCAGAAAAGCAGTTTCAAATGTGTTGTTTTGTTCAGGATTGTTAAAACTATAATTAAGCAAGTTAGTCTCTTTGACCCATACTGGATTTAAATTTAAATTGTTTAAATTTACATGCAGAAGTTAGAAAAGGAAGCATAGTTCATTCAACTGATATGTTGAGTCCAAAATATTTTTTGTAGACTTGAGAATGTGCTCTCAGTGAAGGTAGCCATCCAAGTTCCACTTCCATTATCCCAGGTGGACATGTGAGCAGACAGGTGGTGATGTTAAAGTCATATAACTGCATAACTTCACTGTTTAACAGCTAACTCAAAAAGTCTCAAATGAAAAACTTTAATTATTTAAATTATTTATTTAAATTATGTAATTATTTAATTACTTTAATTATTTAATTATTTAAATTATTTAATTATTTATAAAAGTTTGATTCCATGTATGCCATCTTTGGCATTCTAAGTGGAAACTTAAAAACGTACCAACATTTTACATTTTACAAGTCTACATCTTGACTTCTAGAAAATTAAGCTGTGCTCTTATGAGCAAATAAATGTAAAGGGGGGCAAATGACACTTTAGTTATTATGTGAAATAACTTTGACCTTCAGGATTCTGCAGAAAATGTGAAGAACAAGCTTCTCTTCTTGGAGAACAATTGAGGTAGCCCAGGGTATAGGGATAAGAATTAAGAATATGCATATACATGACACAAATCTTCCTCTAGTCTGTGGGATAGTCAGAGAGAGACTAGGAGACAAATTTTGGCCACAGAATTAAATTCTGGCGGAGTACAGGCCTCAACGTAAGCAGCGCTTTAGGAAACTTGTGCCAGGAAGCAAAGCAAGGGAAAGATCATGCTAAATCCAAGGAATGACTGGAAAACTATTTGAAACAAGAAGTTTAGCATATTATTCCATTGTACATGCTCGAATCCTCTTCTGTGTGGCATTGAAACTATGGGTTTTGTAATTTTTGAACAATAATATTATTATTATTTTCTTTGAAATTTACATTCAAATTATATTGTAAATGAAACAATTAAAAATATTAACAGTAAAAGTCAATTATGTACAAATTGTAGTGTAGTCCTAGTGATAAAAAACATATAAATCATTATGCCCCAATTTTGATTCCTCATCCAACTGAGTTGATTTTTCTCACTTGAACTCTATTCTGAAGGTAAGGAAAGAACTGCGCCTCAGACAATGTAAGAATTAGACTCACGGGGTACACTGAATGAATGAAAGAACTTCTACATATGTATTTATAATCTTTCCTTTCATCATGGGTAGAACTGCTACATTAATTTTTTCTCTCTTACTGTACATGAAAAATCAAGTACATAAGAAGACAATACACAATCACCCTTAAAATCAGCCTCTCTGTTATATAAAGGGTGTAATTTTAGAATTTGAAACCTGACATTTTCTTGTATAAGTTTTGTTAGGTTCCTCTAGAAAGCAAATCAATAAATGCTTAATTAGGGCATGTGTTTTAAACCTGTTTGCGCTTAGACCAGAGATATTTTTAGGTTTTTTTTCTATCATAGGAGCTATCGCTTGTTAGCATAAGTATGTGTACAAAACTAAGACATAAGTTGTCAAATGGAAACAGAAAGAAACTAGAGAAAGGCTAATAGAATAACTTTACAATGCATGTTTTGGAGAGCCAAACTCTTCCTGTATGTGTCTGACTTCTCTAGAGACCCAGTCTCTTGTTGCCAATAAGGAAAGATATTTTCCATTCCGCTTTTAGAAATTACACCTGTTAATTGTTTCACAAGTAAGCACTCTGTATTAATCTGATGCTATGTATTATTACTTGATATTGCAACCAGATAGTTACTTGCAATATATGCTTTTACTGTTTCATGTGATTGATGATTTTACAAACTAGAATTGAAAATATGATACGTTGAGGTAAAAAAAGTACTGATTTAGAAAAATTAAAGTGAGAAAGTTTGAATTACTTTGAAGAATTTTGAATCATAGGCTTTCATAAAGGACATATGACATACTTGTTCCCAAAGAAACTCTCTAAAAAATTCAGCTGGGCTTGCCTTAATTAGCATAGGAAAATCACTTGGTATTGTAGAGGAACTGTATGCAATTAACTAATGATAAAATGCGTTTAAAGAAAAGCTTGCTTTTTTGTAATTAAGCAACCCCCCCATACCTCTCAAATACGTTTAGTGTGTACTTTATTGAAATGTATACAGATAATTTTCACAACAATATAGAGGAATATAAATTTATGAAGTTTTAACATCATAAGTTTTATGATTTCTATAAATATCTAAGGTAAAAAAAAAGTCAGTGTATCACAATATGTCTTAAAAATATACAGGTTGTTGATTTTGGCTCCTATTTTACATACCAGTTGAATAGGCACAGAGATCAAGTGTCTTGCAAGAGACATACAGGAGTTTATCGACACTAGCAAGTGCAATGTTTTTATGACTTGATTCATAACTAAGCTTTCCATAACTAAGCAGGAAAATGGTTTTCCATAAGGCATTGGGAAGTTTCTTTAGTAGTTGGGAGAACTAAAAGAGATGAAAGTGTTGTTGTTACCACTTCCTTAAAATATAAAAGTAAAATTTACTAAAATTTATATAGCTACACTGTAATGACTAAAGCCAAAAGGGACTTAACCAGAATAGTTAATATTTTAGTTAGCCTCCATAGTTTCTGCACGATATCAAATGTTCTAAGCCTGGGTATTGTGTTTACAGCCACAGCTGTCTCCAGTGAACAGAATCCTGTGATTATCATTGCTGTGGTTGCTGTGGCAGGAACCATCATCCTGGTGTTCATGGTTTTTGGATTCATCATTGGAAGAAGGTAGAATATAAAGCTGTTCTAATCTCTACAAAAAAAAACTAATAATTTTTATAGTTATTTCAACCTATTTTTGATCTAGTATTATAGGAATTTTAAATAATGAGCATCAGTATTCTTTGAAACAAAATTTTAGAGGTCAATAAAATGACATTCTCTGATGATCAAACCAATATGAGTTTGATTATTGTTATGTGAGAATCAGTGTTATAACTTCTATCGGATAAATTTTTATTCATTTTTTTCTGAGTTAGAATTTCATAATGAATGAAGAGGATATTTGGCAAAATGTTTATTCTTTAAGTTGTTAGATTAAAAGACTTGAAAACATTGAAAATTACAGTTTTTCAGAAAGTATTATAAACAGAAATTCACTCATTGATAAATTACACAAAAACAATTCTTGTTTTGTCTCACACTAATATTTTGTATTTGTAACTATGTGAGCTGCTGTGTCATGCCTAAGTGAGCTCATAAATACAGAAATGAAAGGTTTTCATTTTGTTTAGCTCTTCTTTCTAAGTATGTTTCTAAATGCTCAGGAGTGCACTGTAATAACTCTTAAGTCCATAAAGAACATTGATTCCACTGTCACTATTGGCTTTCTCCAGGCATTGTGGTTATAGCAAAGCTGACCAAGAAGGGGATGAAGAACTTTACTTTCATTGTAAGTGTTTGGTTTTTCTTTATCATTATATACCCCAATTAATGCAGAAACCTGTCTATCAGTATTGGTATGAACACAAAATTCCTAATAAATCACACCTGAAGTCATATGAGCTCAAAATATTGCTTTAAACATTTGAACAGGATATTAACAGTGAAGGTTATGAGATGTGAATTTTTAAAAAATTGGATATATTGAGAAATGTAATGTAGCTGTTGGATATCAGCACAGTTTACATCCAAAGTTCTCCTTTTGCATCTTTTTTCCCATATATTTCTGACTATTAAAGTAATATTCCATTGCATGTTACATATATACCTCTTCTGACAATAGAATATTACTTTAAAGTAGCCTAAAAGGCTACCTGCTAAGAAGCCTCTTTCTCTTCAGCTACTGTACAGTGTCTATTACTGAAGAGATATTCCACGGAATGGGAATAGAATAGCCATGGGATGCTGATGTTCTCCGATGTCTTCCCATGGCCTAAGTTATCCGCTAATGTTCCTTTCAGAAATCGTATTCAGAAAGGTACATAGATACCCAAGGAATATGGACACGAGCGCCATTATTTTTATTAGTGTTGATGGCAAATAAGCACAAAACACTCTAACTTTGTGCAAATAACAAGACCTAACACTCAAGCGATGTGTTTACATGTTGATGAAACTCTTAGCTATACCTATTATTTTTAATCCTTGCAAATGTTAAATAATTTATTTTCTTAATACCTATCATCTTGACTAAATTTTTACACAGATTTCTCATAATTGATACAAGGATTACTTTTTTATTGCAAGATTTATCAAATTCTCCTGTCAGTAGTAAAGAAATTATTATCACTTACTTATTTAAAGTCCTATGTAAACACCAAGCAAGAGTGCTTCGTATTTTTAAAGCTCAAATGGCAATGTGTGGTTTAAATACAGAGACTGTGGGTGCTTTTGTTAACATTCCTACATTTCTTCTATATATTGGTATCCCTTGGGTCAGTGGTTATCTTGATGTCAATTTATGAAAGAAAACCTCAAATTTAAAATGGAATGCGGTAGAATTTCAGCTACTGAAGGCAGGAGAGTACATGGAATACTGCAAATGGAAGTAAAAATGTTACCAGAGGTGGCTTTATCAAGAGGTTTAAACCTCAAGGTCCCTCATTTTCATGAACTGCTTGCCCAGCCCAGCAGTTGCCTAGTCATTTTGTGTATATACGTATAAATCACTTTCTTAAAGAGGGTGTCCCAAACTGTATAATGTTCAAGTCTCACAAAATTTGAGTCTATCCCTGATTGATTGAATTCAAGTGATCCCGCTACCCTGCCTGGGAATATATGATAGGATCAGACTAGCCAAACATTCTGTGGTTGATTTCACAGAGATTTTCCTGTGACAAACTTGGGTAATGGGAGCACCTCAGGGTGTCTCTTAGGCAAAGTACAGAAAAGTAAAGGTTATATATTTTTTTCCACTTTCGAGAGAAGGAAAACTAATTTTAATACTTTCAGAGACAGGAAGGAGAGGATCAAAACTTGAAAACCTAAAATTTTATTTACAGTATAAAATGTATACTGACATGTAATTTAAGAAAATAATGGGTAGAATTTCTTGACCCTACCCATAAGTGAATAATTTAATGGTGACATTATGTAATTCTACCTTCTTGAGTCTATCACCTTACTTTTATTTATTGAATGTATCTAAATCATTTCCAAGTTATCAAATACAGATTGGCTTATTTGCTTTTAACTTGAAGGTTAATGCAGGAAGTAAATTTAAACAGGGCTTGTCTAGAACTCCCTGCGTAGCCTCATGCTTAGGTGTCATCTCTCAGTTTCAGCATTTTGATGCTACTCACTTTTTTCTCATTTCACATCTGATTTGTAATCATGATGAATAAAGTTGCATGTCATATTTACAAAGAAAGAATCTGAATATGTTCGCTGTATGTAAATGTGTTTTCATTGCCATAGCAAAATTTCTATTGTGTGTTTAAGATATTTAGTGTTCATGAGAAATGTAAGGTAGTAAAACACAAAATAACTCATACTTTTAAATTGGCATAAGCAGCAGAAATTATGAATATTAAAATATTTGTAAACTAGCTCTTTGTTTCAAAGCATTGGTTTTAAAATGAATAATGAACAAAAGCTGAAGTTCACTTAATATATCCTGTTATGGTAAGATATGGTATATCGAAGAATTCTTTTGCAAACATCCTGTCACTTGATGAGAACCAACATTTAACTTGATTTGATGACTGTATAAATAAGACTTGTGGTCACCAGCTATTTATGAATCAGTGGCCTTTTATTCTTTTTGTTCTGGGAGAATTTTCCCAGGTGCTAAGATGCAAAACTGATTTTTATAGACATCGTAAGCAGTCATGTAACTAGCTTTTAGGTCACTGAATAATCCAATGTCCAATCATTGGTGCCCAGTGCTCTCAGTTCTCTGTGATCCCAAGTACTACATTTAAAGATGCAAACATGGTGGAGGGGTTCGGTAAAGCATTTCCAATGTACATTTTGTTTCCTTCTACCAATTCTTCTAACAATGTCTTAGGATCCAAGCTGGGCAGTAGTTCATATGTTTTATGCCAAAATAGTTCTAGCCTGTCAAAATATTTTATGACAGCTTGAATAAAGAACCATCAGAGACCCATTTGAGATTCAGAAGGTTACCTCCAATCTAGCTCCCTTATCAAGAACAAAAAGAAAAAAAAAGAAAGAAAACATTGAAGGAAAGAGAGGATAAAAAGGGAGAAGATGGCTCATTATCCATCTGACTGCCAATCTAGGAGGTTAACCTATTGTTTTCTTCCCTTCTCTCTTTTTCTCTTCCCCCACCCTCTTCCCTATCCTCCTTCTTCTCTCTTTTCTCTTTCTATCCCCTCTCTCTTTTCTGCTTGTGTTGTTTTTCATGTTCAGCTTTAGTTACAAATGAGCATCTGTCAGTTTTATAAACTGCAACAATATTTAAGACAATCACTTTTGGATAAACAGTCAACTACAGCAGAATAAATCAAGATTTTTAAGTCCCATTTTCCTTTATACATTCTGCTTTTTTGTTGGTTATATGTTTATTTTATTTAAAATATAATCCGAATGTGATGACAAGCACAGTTAGGCTACAGTGTAATATATAAGGAAATACATTGTTCTGCATATAGTAAGTTTTAATGAGAAGATTGTTCAGTGGCTTTGTTAAAAACAATAAAGAATTTCTGAGGATATAATGTAGTTTTTTCATTGCATTCATATTACCAAATATATGCCTATCTCTATCGTGGTCTTTAGCCAAATGATTATATTTGGTATTCATTATTGTAATTGAATTTAATTTAACGTTGACATATCATTATCTGTTACCTGCATGCTTCTGGGTGCATTTTAAGATTTTTAGCTTTTTAAGATGATTCTGTGTTGTTTAAACTTTGACTACCTTTAGTGAAGCATATTGGCTACCTCCTCATAGCAGTTAAGATCTTCCAAAGCCTTATAACTGAAAGTTCATATAAACCATTAATTTTTTAAATCACTGTCATATTTGGTGAACAGACCCAGGAATATTGTAAATTTTATAACTTTACTCTGTACTTTGTACATCTGGCCTCTATTACCTTTCAAGGTGAAGATGAAACTGTTTTTAGAATATTTCTCTTTGATTGTGTGATAGCAATCCTTCATAACTTGTATTAATTTTGTGTATGTGTCAACGGTGGTTGGTCTTTAAAAAAATAAATCAAAAGAATAAGTAAACTGTCTAAATGTTTTTAATATTGCTGTCAGTGTAGTAGCCTACCTGTAAATGAAATGTCTTCTTTTCCCAGTGTATTAATTTGATTGATTGATTGACTGATACATTTACAAATGTGTTTCCAAGTCTATTACAAAGTTCAATATGGCTTAAACTAAGCCATGATAGCAATGAATTTAATTAAACTTCTAGTCTGAAAGGCATGTCAGAAAGTTTGGTGGATGTACTTTGTTGATTTACTGGAAAAGCAATTCAGCCAGTAATCTATGAGCTGGATCCCATGTTACCTATAGAAGCTTGCAGATAATACATATACGGCAGCAGACTGAAGTAGTCTGTTAAGACGCTGTGAATCAGGTGATGTGGAAGCAAGTTCACTGTTCCAAGGAGCACTCTGCATAATGAAATTCCTGGGCTGACTGCACAATAAGTGCTTTGCTTCATCACAGTCATGCTTTCTTACATCATTACAGTTAAATTTCCAGGCACCAAAACCTACATTGACCCTGAAACCTATGAAGACCCAAATAGAGCTGTCCATCAATTCGCCAAGGAGCTAGATGCCTCCTGTATTAAAATTGAACGTGTGATTGGTGCAGGTAAGACTGTTGTAGCTTCCTTTTTAGGCTGTTCCATTTAGCCAAGATCGAAAGTCATACATCATAATGACAGGCAAATAATTATCCTTCAAGTATAGAACTTTTAAATTTGCCTAAACTGTTGGAAGCAATGAGGCTGCACTTGTTTATGAAATCTTAAGGGAAAAAATGAAAAAGAACCATGTAGCAGAGAATCTGTATATATCTGATTTTCTGTCAAAGTTTTAAGAAACTGTTCTAAGCTGTTGCTTAATGATTCTGGCCTATAGTTCAAGAATAAGATTTTGAAATGTCAAAGTTATCTTGAATCTGTTGGAATATATACTCTCCACTTGATTTACTATCTTCTTGCTAAGCTCTTTTTTTTTTTTTTTTGCACTGGTAGAGAATTAGCTGCTGTTCCATTTCAAATCTATGTAGAAAATTAGCATCCATGAATTATTTACGCAGTGTTATTGCTATGTGTATAGTGTGCTTTCACAATAATTGTACATTTTTAGATCCAACTCCCTTAAATCTAGCAGACATTACTGCACATAATTTCCAGACTTTTTAATCTTTAATAAATATTTTATTCTAAAACTTTAAAAGCACTAGCAACATTTAGAATTACTAATGTGTCCTTTATGGTTTAGTAAGCAGTGTAGGGTACACAATGTGTTTCACATCTAGAAGGTGACACTGAAAAATAGTTTGTTAATCCAGTTGAAAAATTATAGGCTGTGTAATAGAGAGCAAGCTTCATTTCTACTGAAGAGCTGCAGTATACTCTTCAGTGTTATTCCCATCCAGCCATTCTTTTCAAAATGATTTTCAGCATGTTTAGAAAATAGCAATACTTATCCACTTGAATATGTTGAAAATAATTAAGGAATGTTTAAAGTATTTATGAAAATGCATTATTAGTTGTTTTTATCAAAAGAACTTTTGAAAATTTTTGTAGACTTTGAGAAAGAAAGTAGTGTAGATTGTTGACACACATCTGCTTCTTCTGTTAACTCAGGAGAGTTTGGAGAAGTCTGCAGCGGCCGTTTAAAACTTCCAGGCAAAAGAGATGTTGCTGTGGCCATAAAAACCCTGAAAGTTGGTTACACGGAAAAGCAAAGGAGAGACTTTCTGTGTGAAGCAAGCATCATGGGCCAGTTTGATCATCCAAATGTTGTTCATTTGGAAGGAGTTGTTACAAGAGGTAGATATTGATGATCTCTTTCATTTACCAGAATTTACTACTATTGCGTTTGTCAAAAAAAAAAAATTAAACTGTGGATGTATTACCTACTCTAAATGAATGTACTTCTTCCCAGTGTGTCACTAACTAAAATCATTCTTCTTTTTATGTTGCCACCTCAGAGTAAAACACAAAAATCAGAAATAACAAATGCAGATTTGAGTTGAAGAGCAAATCAAATAGCTGCAATGACTGGCAAATATTTGTATTTAACATCAAAAGCTTTAAAAATGCTACCATTTATGCTGTATATTTTACATGAAATTTCATTTTTGTGAGTGTTTCTCACAAAAGCACAACTGGAAGAACATGTGGACTTTTACTTCATAATTCATGACCATGATATTAGCAGACATTTAAGGAGTTTCTGGACACAACAACAGCACTAAAAACATCAGAAACACCCATGTGATCAACTGTTCAACCTCGCAAAGACTGAAATGGAAGCGGGAGAAGGAATGATCCTAATATTTTGGTAACAATATTGAAAATAACTGTCTGGATTGCTTTCTTTTTTAATTGTAGGGAAACCAGTCATGATTGTAATAGAATTCATGGAAAATGGAGCCCTAGATGCATTTCTCAGGGTAAGGACTAAAATTATCCTCCTTTCCAATATAATAATAATATCAAACTTTATTTCAGAATATAAAAAGAAAACATTACATTTTGACTCATGAGAAAATCATATCTGAAAATAAAATTAATAAACATCTGGAATGGAATAATCTAGAACCTATTGGATATTTAAGTGATACAATATGATTTTTCTTAAATGTCCCATTTATCATGTTAGCTGAGCTACAAAAGATATTGGAAGAACTCTGGTTTGCTTATTTCAGAACATAATAAACGATCCTAAATGAAAAATTATAACAAAACTAAAAACTGAGAAAATCATTCGATGTTGGTGTTATGATCCCTACTCTGCTCTTCAGTATTGTCTCTGATATGTTTTTAAATAAAGCCCAGGCCTAATATACACTTACTAAATGCTGTTTTTGAAAATTTTTCTGAAAGGCAGAGTTACATATTGAGAGAGAAGGGAAGGCAGGGACACAGGGAGATTTTCCATCTGCTGGTTCACTCCTGAAATGGCTGCAATGACCAAGGCAGGGCCAGGTCGAAGTCAAGAGCCAGAGGTTTCTCTGGGTCTCCCATGTGGGTAAAAGGGCCCAAGTGTTCAAAACATTTTCCACTGCTTCTCTAAGTACATTAGAAGGGAGCTGGATTGAATGTGGAGCATAGAGATCTGAAAGCAGCATTCATATGGAATGGTGAAATCCCAGGTGGCCAGTTACCTTGCAACATAATATAGGCCCCACTAAATTAATACACTGTGATTTTTTTTCAAGTGATAAATCCTAAATATTTAAATATGCATCTTTATATTCTCGGAAGTTTTTGACCTAATATGAACACATGTTAACTTCTTGGAATAAGAAGACATACAAAAAAGTTTAACATGATCTAAAATGATCTTTTAATCTAGATTTAAGAGCAATCAGGATTTACAGAAACTTATTGCAAAATCATGATGTGAAAAGCTGTCTAATCTTTGGAGCATTATCTAGGAAGTTAATTAATTGGTACCATCATTGGCTGTATGGCATTTGAAGAAGGAAAATCTATGAGTTGAGAAAATGAGTTAGAAATATAGTGGCATGCCTCATTGAAAGCAGGTCACAACCCCAATTGCCAGAAGATTTTAGGGAATCTTTTTTGCAAGTAATCTTATTGGAGCAAAACAACAAAAGGAATGAAATGAAAACAGTCGCTGTAATCATGATCTACTTCTTACCTTTCCTTCATTTTGACTCAAATATTTCTTTTTTCCTTTGAAGAAAAAATGTAATATGCATGTAGATGTTTTATATATTGTATATACTTTTATGTCATTGGGTTGGAAAAATAATTGCTTCCCAGGGCTAAGATTTTTGGATATTTTATTTTAAAATTAATTTTGAAATTAGCATGTGTTCGCTGTCCTGCATCGATGGACTTAGTGCGCAGAGCCTATAACACCATGTATTGGTGAGATAGCCAGAATTCTTTAGTGGCATCAGGCTTTTCTAGACTGAAGCTCACATAGAATAAGGGAGGAGCTGTTGAGGAGCTTACGTAGTTCCCATAAACCTTTCTGTGGAACCCATCAATTGTTTGCACACCCTTGTTTAAAACTATCTTTTTGTTTCATACATCCAATCAAGTGTTCTCACTCAAATGATATCAGATCAGCTGTTCTCATACAAATGATACGCTTTCAATTGTTATCCTATGTTCCCTGTGCTTCCACAAATCATGGTGTCCTTCTACAAGCACATACATTTGAACTTGTATTATTTAAATCTGAAAAATAGACTCTTACATTGAATAATATTAAAATCTAAACTGGGGACAAGAGTTTGGCCTAATTATTAAGACAGTGGACACTCTGCCCATGTCACATATCACAATGCTTCAGCAAAACACCAGCCTCCAGCAACTAATTTCAGCCTCCTGCTGTTGGACACCTTGGGTGGCACAAGTGATGGGGGCAGCAAGTGATACCTCAACAGGTTGGATCCTGCCACCCACATGAGATACTTGAACTGAGTTTCTGCCTCCTGGATTCAGCCTTGCTAAACCCTGGCCAGTGTGGGTATTTGGGGCATGAGCTAGCAATCTGAAAATTTTTCTCTTCTCTCTCCTTTCTCTCTTTCAATTCTCTGTGTGTGTGTGTCTCTTGTCTGTCTGCCTCTCTTTCACACACACACACACACACACACACATACGCACAAACACATGTGTATATTATATAACAGAAGATTGTAAATATGAAATGCTTAACTATCAAGTCAAAATGTGATTTTTCCCTACAAATGTGAATTATATATAAAAAATAATTAAGCATTTTCATCATATAATATTAAAAGGTAAGTATGCATTCCTTTTCATCATGGCTTTTGTGCCTTTTAAAGTACAACCTACCCTACTTTTGTTTTGTCTTCTTGCAGAAACATGATGGTCAGTTTACAGTCATTCAATTAGTAGGAATGCTGAGAGGAATCGCTGCTGGAATGAGATATTTAGCTGACATGGGATATGTTCACAGAGACCTTGCAGCTCGCAATATTCTTGTCAACAGCAATCTTGTGTGTAAAGTGTCAGATTTTGGTCTGTCCCGGGTCATAGAGGATGATCCAGAAGCTGTCTACACAACCACTGTAAGAAAAAGTCTGCTATTGTACTTCTTCATACTTATTCATATTTTCCTACCAAGAAACAGGGATTAGTAATGCAAAAATAAGCAGGAAAAATGTCAGTTGTTGTCAGCTGTTTGCACTTACATTTTTCTCCTTTTGAAAGTATTTTTATTGTTGTTCAGATTACACGTAGGCCTAGAAAAAAGTGGAAACAGTCATAATATTCCTAGGATATCCAGGGCTATCAGATAACTAAGAGTTCCCCGGGAGATAACACACATCTTGGGAGGAAGAGGGTGATGGTTCAGGTTGTTACATACATTTTCTAGCTACTACCTCATAATTGTAACAAGAAATGGAGCCATATTTTAACTTTTTAAGGAATATGAACTATACTGATTCCTTTAATTTTTGAAATATTTGAAAAAAATTTTTTAAGCTTTAAAATCCCGATGTTCCCATTTTGCTCCATCAGTAGCTATGCCTAATTTGTCATTTTCTTTTCATTAAACTTATGACTACAAAGGGTTCATTAAAATCAATTGTACTACCAATGAAAATATGTGACTGCCTCTATGGAAATAGATTTATAACTTAAAATATACTTACAGATATTCAAGATTGGTAGGGCCAGTATTGATGAACTGCCGGACAGTTACAAATGTAGTTGATGGTACCTTAACGTATAGTCATAAATTATTTGTAAATTATTATACACAATTTAAATGTCAATTTCTTTTTATATCAGGGTGGAAAAATTCCAGTAAGATGGACAGCACCTGAAGCCATCCAGTATCGAAAATTCACATCAGCCAGTGATGTATGGAGCTATGGAATAGTAATGTGGGAAGTTATGTCTTATGGAGAACGGCCTTACTGGGACATGTCAAATCAAGATGTAGGTGTTATACTGAATAAACAAAAAGAGTTTACTACCTTAATATCCATCATTATTGGAAAATGTATCTTGCTAATATCCAATTAAGAAGAATTAAGAATATATATAAATATATTTTAGTTTCTGTTATTACCACAGAGAGTAACAATGATTACAATAAATGTATGATTCTATTACTTTGATTTTGATTTTGAAGAATCATTTTCTCTTTTTCATTTCTGGACATAATACAAGCAACAGAGTATCATGCTCCTTAACAAAACCAGTGATGCTGTGCTTGCACTTCTGTGCTGGTAAAATCACAAAAGAATTAAGATGTATTTGTGAGGAGAAGGAAATGTTTGTACTTTCATTGCCTTTTGGTGATAGATTTTAATTACATTTTAATATCATCTATCTAAATTTTTAATAGCATTTACCTGTTTAATCTCAATTATCTTATCAATATGAATTATCATTTGTCTACACTTTATTGTAAGCAATGATTGGTGTTACATGATGGCATTTAAGAATGTAATCACACTGAGTGTATCCTTGGTAATTAGTAAAACATATATATATATATATATAGGCCATAAGGTTGTACTAAGACCAAATATGTTGTATCAGTTTAAAAAAATAAGCCAGTGTTAATTTATATGTTTCATGCACAAGACCACTTATAAAACAATGAGGCACAAGTTCAAGTGAGTATTTCTTGCTGTTACATTGAATTTTATACAATTGTGAATTTCTTGTGTCAAAAGCATTAGGATATTATTGGATTCATATAATCCATCCTAAAATGTGACTGAGATTTAGATTAATCTAGAACAGGCTTAGCAACTGGTAAGGTAGCAGGAGTTGAACCACAGGAAGAAGAGCTTACGCATAACAGATTAGACAGTTCCCTAAGAAAGCACCAGGTGCCCAGAAGTGCAGGATTGTAAAGGTGCAGGGAGCCCAATCCAAGGCTCCTGCTTTTGCAGCAGGGATTTAGGACGGTGGTGGTAGTTACGAATGAAGATGAGGTCAGGGTAAGATGATGAAGGTCTGTTCTGAGAGCTTCAGACTAAAACAGTAGGAGTATTTAAGGAAAAAAAAAAAAGCTAGCATTACCATTCAGAAAAAAAGATATGACTAACAAACTGGTTGGGAATAATTTTTTTTGAAGTTTCATAAACAGAAGGTAACTGCAGTCAGAATCATTTCCAAAAGCAGTCTTGAAAACTGTAGCATTCAACATAATCTTTGCAGTTTTTGAATTATCTACTTAAAATTCATCTAGCTCTTATAATTAGCAAGTAAATCTTCTTAGGTGACTGAGGGGGAACTATTCAAATATTGTTGGGAAGGCTGTTTTCCCGATGTTTATCCACATTTATGCCTTGACTGAAAACTGGGAAGGTTTTAAATTAGGCAAATCTTTTGGTATTTTGGATGGAGTGATAATATGCAACATTTTCATTTGTGTTTTTTTGTTTGTTTTTATTTTTGTTTTTCAAAGATGAAAGTCTACATGATGAGTCTGTTTGGCAGAGCCAAGGTTGTTAATATTTGACAGGTCTCAGTGTCAAAGATTTCATGGACTGTCAAAATATGGGCAAACAAATCCTTAGGGCCGAGAAAGAGAAATATTTACATTCCCTAGGCACTCCATAGAGTTTCATTTCTTTTGACACCTTCCTTCTGTAGTAGACTCAAATATAAAGGGAGAATGACAGGAGTATAAGATGACTTAAATTCAAAGTTCAGATAACATCTACAAAGGGAAAATGGAAATGGCTAAGATAGAATAATTTTCATTTTTAAAATTCCATAAATATTATTTATTTTCTCTTAAAAATAAAAATTATAAATGCAGAATTGCTAAAAATATTAATGAATGTTAGTAAATTTCTGACCTTGAAAATGTAGTTCGATAATATTGAAGATCTAAACTAATATTTACATTGGACCCAAGTTAGTGAAGTAATAAAACATAATATATGTAGCTCAATTTATATGTTGAAATGCATATTAATATTCCTCTCTTTGGGTAATACTAATTTTTTGTACTTATGATGTTAAAGTGCTATTTAAAGAATTATATGTTTAATTTTCAATATGCAGATGGAGGAAATCTGTATGATTCAGACAATTGTGAGATAAAATTTTCTGGATGAAAGTTTTAAATGTTGAGTCTGTAGTAAGAATTTACAAACACTTAGAGGTCTTTGAGCCCCCAACACGCATGGAATATCTTGTGTATGTATATAGTCATATTATATTTTTTAGACAAGGTTTCGTTTATCAGAGTTTCAGTTATATTCAAAATTTTTAAGACTTATTTACTTTTTAAGATTTATTTTTATTATATTATTTTTTCATTGGAAAGTCAGATATACAGAGAGGAGAGACAGAGGGGAAGGTCTTCCGTCCGATGATTCACTCCCCAAGTGAGCGCAACGGCCCATGCTATGCTGATCCAAAGCCAGGAGCCTCTTCCGGGTCTCCCACGCGGGTGCAGGGTCCCAAAGCTTTGGTCCGTCCTCTACTGCTTTCCTGGGCCACAGGCAGGGAGCTGGAAGGGAAGTGGGGCTGCCAGGATTAGAACCGGCGCCCATATGGGATCCCGGGCGTGCAAGGTGAGAACTTTAACCACTGCGCCACTGCGCCGGGCCCAAGACTTATTTATTTTTATTGGAAAGTCAGATTTATAGAGTGAAGGAATGACACAGAGAAAGATTTTCCATCTTCTGTTTCACTGTCCAAGTGGCCCCAATTGAGCTGAGTCAATCTAAAGCCAGGAGCCAGGAGCCTCTTTCGGGTCTCCCATGCAGGTACAGGGTCCCATGACTTTGGGCTGTCCTCAACTGCTTTCCTGGGCCAAAAGCAGGAGCTGGATGGGAAGTAGAGCAGCTGGGATATGAACCAGTACCCACATGAGATCCCAGGTGTGCAAGGGAGGACTTTGACCATTAAACTACTGCACGAAGCCCAACATTTAATGTTTTGAAAGAAAGATAAAAAGTTCTTTCTATAACTAAATGCATTTAGACATAATAAATAATAGAAAAAATAAGATTATTCTATTGTCCTTCAAACAATTATCTTTCTTTTAGCCTAGATGGATTTTTGTAAGTAAACCAGTTAACTTGGTATTGGTTAAATTTGGCTGTGAGAAATTTGTTTGGGATTTAGAAAGACCTCAATTTTTTTTAATTAATTACATAGCATTATGTGACACAGTGTTATGGGCACTGGAATTCCCCACACCCCTTCCAAAACCCTCTCCCCTTGGTGGATTTCTCCACCTTGTTGCATTACCACAGTTCAGAATCAGTTGAGGTTCTTTCATTGAAAGCATTTACCAAGCATAAAGTCCAGCATCTTATCTTAGTGAGTTCAATGATTTCTTGGTGAGACCATCTCTGGTCTGAAGGTAGAGCTGGCAAAGCATCATCTCAATCAATTGAAAGCCCCGACATAACATCAACAACTATTTACAACATCATGGCATAATTGACATGGTATTGATTAACAATATGTTAATAGGAAAATGTGGCTTCTTAACTACATCCTGTGACTTCTTCATAGACATTTCAATTTTTGGTTTATATTCAACCGGGTACCATACACCTCAAGATGGCTATAGATTACTATTCAACTGTCTCGTCTATTTTTATTTTGGTATTTAGCTGTTTATAGTGTTGAAGAATGATTTTGCTGAACTTAGTTGTTTTTCAGATGGTCTGAACTTGAGAAAGCCCTCAATTTTTGAAAGCGTCAGAATTTGATGATCTTTTTAAAGATACCATGAAAACAAGAAATGTAAGCTTATACTTACATTTCTAAGGAACTTCACAAAACTCCAAATTGAGTGCTGAATGAGATATTTCTGTAATGACAGTAAAGAAATAGAAACAGGGATGATGTGGATGTCAACGAGTTAGAGAGTCATGACTTTAACTTCACATTGTACAATACTATCGTATTGTCTTTCAGACAAGTATCTCTTTTTAAAAACATATGTATTTATACTTATTTGCAAGGCACATTTTAAAGAGAGAGAATGAGAGAGAGAGAGAGAGACAGAGACAGAGAGAGAGAGAGAAGGTATTCCATAAGCTGGTTCACATTCCTCAAAGGCTGCCATGACCAGAACTGATTCAGTTCAAAGCTAGGAGTTTCTTTCTGGGCCTCCTAGGCGGGTGCAGAGTCCCAAGGTTTTGGGCCATCCTGCACTGCTTTCTCAGGTCACAAACAGGGAGCTGGATGGGAAGCGGAGCATGAACTGGGACACATGAAGCAGCACCCTTATGGAATGCTGGTACTAACTGGCAGAGGATCAACTTGTGAAGCCACCATACCTGTTCCGAGACAACTTCCTTTTCATGAATATGCATCTTGATTAGTACAATTAAACTTCTTATTCTCAAGTTATGAAATTTTGGAATTCTTTATCATATACATTTTTTGTTTATAGTAGTCAGCAAAATTATTTTTCTTATTCAAAGTTAAAGCAAAAATTATGAATTTACTGGTAGGTAATATTTTTTTTCTATAAAAAGCTGTGACAAAAAAAATTATTCCTTAAACTCATCCAGTAAAAGTCATTTAATACTTTGACATCTAAATTTGTGACAACTAAATTTAATGTGGGCTAAAATTTGTGCTAGGTAGTTTTAATTGTAAAGATCATCAGTAACTTTGGTGTGTACTTTTTCATATCAAGATACAAATCATGATTTCATTTGGTAAAACCTTGTTACAATCCTGTAAACATGAGCTGTATAAAATGTGAGTGATGTTTTTGTGAGGCTAATAAAGTGAGAATGAATTTCGAGCAGAAGATAGAATCAGAAGTGTTATACCTTATTTTAAGTGATTAGAGGCCCATTATAATAAGGTCTTCCTGCACTCCTCCTTATCTTAATTACATTGGCAACTGGGAGTAATATGAAAACACCTATCATGTTGTTCTTTCGCTAAGTGTTTCCAGAAAGGATGTGCAAAAAAAAGAGAAGTTCCTTGCTTCAGCCTCTGGTCTTTTTTTTTTTTTTATGTTACTTATACTCCTTTGAGATCTAAATGCAGAATTGTGTATGAATGTTTTTCTTTGACTTATACTAAAACACTAAGTCTGAATCTGAGCAGACAAATCTCGGAAATTTTTGATAATTTTAAAGTTCAGTGAGTAATTATGTAATCTGCTACGAGATTCATGCACTGCACCCGTGCACTCTGTTGTTTCCACTATATTTTCAAATAGTGCTTCCCCCCCCCATTTGGAAATAGAATTCTTTGTTAACAACATGCATTCTGTAAGTGTGTGTCTGTCTCCAGTAGCTTAGCCGACCTGGTGCCAAGTAAAAACAAGGAGGACAACGACTCGAGGTGAAGGAACAAGAACATTTAATCTTCAATAGTTGAGGAGCTAGCAGATATTAGAGTCCCAGGGCTTCCTTTGCTAGGTAGGGTTGCTTTGGGGTTTAAGTAGGGGATATAAGGAGAAGTGGTATTTGTAGTGGAAATCCTGAGACAGCTGCAGGACTCTGGTGTTTGGTGCCAAGTCTTGTTTTGGTGTGGTGGCTCTTGAAGTACACAGGTGTTGAGAACACATCCAGCCTGACTAGGACCTCCTCTGCAAATGTTGAGATGAGGAACAAAGCCATGTATGCTTTAAAATATGGAAAAGCAGGATGCCAGCAGTTCAGACCTAAGACCTCAGCTTCCAGACTTCAAATTGAAGTAGAAAACTTCTTGTTTTATATTATTGTTGAATCCTGTTCCCTCTGTTGGAAGCCATGTGGTACTGACACTTTCCTTATTTCTTTGTGCTTCAAAGACTTTGTCTCAAGGATCAGTGTTGTAATAGTATACAGTGAGATGTTTGTGAGAATCAGATGGGATAATGTACGTTTAACATAGTACCGATTACCTAGTAAAGTATTCAGTAAATACCTGTTGTGATGGTTAGTTGGGTTTTTGATAGGTTATTTTGTTCTAGCAAACTAACCAAATGCATAAGCAAACAAACAAACAACAACACAAATAAATGGACTACATAATTTTGAGCTTCAGATTGTTCCAAATCAGCTCATCTTCTCCAATTTACATCAGAGGGTCTACCTTGGGTGACGCCAAACTGTTCTCTAAAGAACAGTTTTCCCAGCAACTGTCTTCAGTGCTCTTGTGGGTAGGACTGCAATTATTAGCAGAAGCTCTGGAATTCTAAGTTCCATATTTATTACAGAATATCTCTCAGCTTACATGTTATAGTTTGCTACCACTTCTTTAGCAATTATGTATTTAAACATTTATTTATCTACTGCTAATCCATTAAGATCTATAATGCAGTATATAGCTGGCACTTTTATATTGAGATCAGTGTTGTTTCTCTTATATGAAAATGATAATCACTTAATGTCTAGATTGCAATAAGGTCACTACAGAGATTTTTTTTTACTAACTTTTGTTAGAGCCATTTAATGGTACTGTACTTTTCTCATTGGTACAAAAAGAATCATACTGTGTTTAAAGCTAATGTATCCTAAATGCTGTTGTGAAAACTTGAAGCGTGAACTATGATAAGACCTAGGTTTACAGATTGCACAAACAAAAGGGAAATATCACTCTTCCTGCATTATTCCTTTCAGGACACAAAATGGGAAGTGACAAGCAGGGATATAAGTTAGAAGATGGTTAAAACAAAAAAGACTAAACTAACTTTAAGAAAATTAGAATGGAGTTCCACTAAATCAGAATTTTCATAAGCTAAAGAACAGCTCATCTCAAATATCAGAAAAACTACCCTTTCTCCAGTGGAAAAATCCCCCACTTTGTCTATTGTGTGGTCATTTGGAATATATAAAGTCTGAGAAGTAACTAGTTTGTTTATTCACAATTTGAATCATTGTTTAAACTATTTAACCCAAATTTCCAAAAGTGTATTGTATTTACTTTCATCTAAATTGTTAAATGCATAACACTTTTGAATCTAAGTATAGTGATTTTCTGGGAATGCTGCACAAAGCCACATGAAATTCATTACATTTAAAATAGCTTTTTTGAAATATAATTTTCTACATATGTATATTTGTGAGTTTTGTAGGCCTACAATGTGTGTATGTTAGCATCCATGATGTGCAGCTTGTTAGAATGGCTATTTTTAGGAATGTTCACTGGCAGTGATATACACCATGCATTTATGCAGCCAAACACAAGGAGAATCTATGGCTTCCATTGTCATTTCAGAAACAACATTGATCAGAACATTCAAGCTAAGATAGTTTCCCCATAATTTTTGCAGGTGTATAAAAAAGGTCGCCATAGTTTGAAAGTTTACAGACTTCACTTTAGGTCACAATTTCATCATTTCATACAGACTTTTTCTAGTATTTAGCATATAGATGTTGTGTTGAGAAAATAGAACTATCACAAAGTGATTAACTAAATGGCTGTTCATATGTGCCAAAGAAGGCTGAGGCAGTTGGACATGGGGTGGTTGAAGCAGTAGACGGTTGAGGAGGAGATACTAAATTCAAATAAAAATACAGCATGCGAGATCCCTGGGGACTATCTGGGTGAGAATATCTAGGAAATGGATGGAAATATAATCTAGTGGTCAGCACGGATTTCAGGATAAGAGTTTATGTTAGAATAGTTTTCAAAACTGTATCTTTAAACTTTTCAGTATGAAAAAGCATATTTCTGTTAAAGCAAAAATTGATTCTGTTTTACCAAAATATTTATTCAAAAATGGTGCAAGCTACATTTTGATTACAAAATTTTGCTTTTCCATTTGATATTACTGAATGTCATATTTAGGTATATGTGTCCTTGAAAATATCAAGATCAACATTACTTAAAGCTATTTTTTGTAACTCTATGTTTAACTTTATTTTTTCAAAAATTTAAGAATATCTATGTTTTTAAAAAGCATTTATATTCCTACTACTGTTATAATAGGTTTTTTTATTTGTCCTTGGATAATATTTTATTATTTTATAATCTGTTTTTCATATGCTATTTGCCTTCCTAGTGTTTTTCCTGTTTTGGCCAAATTGGTAACAATGTCTTATTTTTAAGATCTATTTTTAATCTATATATAAATTAAAGAATAAATATAAATAACTAACATTTGAAAATTTGGATTACAAGGTAGAAGTGTTTATGGAGAGTCATTTTTCATTAACATTCAAGATTGGTGTAAATAGGACCAGAACTTCTAGATATTATTATATATATAAATAGGCAGTGGTATACTGATAAAGCTTTAAAAATCAATTCTAGTATGAGCCTTCGTCATCCCCCTTGCTTTTCAGTCTGCCAGTTTGAGGTCACTGAGCTTAAAATTGGGAAATGATTCAATCACCTTTCATAAATCAATTTAAAGACTAGCACACCATTGTAGCTAAAATCACTAGACACTATGCTTGATATTATATTATAGTAGTATTGTTTTTGGTAATTTTTTTTCAAGAAAATTCTTATATTATGAAATCCTACAGAAAACTTTCATTTGAACCTATGAAGTATTAATGTGTTTTGGTTCAGTCTGTGTACTTCAGAATTTCCTTTTATTACATACTTGCAGAATTTTTAAACTCATGAGCAAATGTGTGCACTCACAAGCGTATACAGGTAAAATAAAGTTCTGTAACATTTCCCTTTTGAAAACCTTTGGGGTTATATTAAAAATATTTCCATCCTCTACACCCTGGGCGAATTTAATTGCTGTTGGCTATTGCCAAGTTAACTAGGAAATGTCATCATATCCTGCACTTCATGCACCCTTTATATTTATAGATGTTTTGGAAAAAGTAAGTAAGTCTTTTGGAAAACAATGTGCCTCCCTCTTATTTGAATACATCATTTTGCCTACCATGCAATTTGTTTCATTATAATTGAACCTCAGTCAGTAATATTTGAATATCCTTTTGGTTATTAGGTTATAAAAGCAATAGAAGAAGGTTATCGCTTACCAGCCCCGATGGACTGCCCAGCTGGTCTTCACCAGCTAATGCTGGATTGTTGGCAGAAGGAACGTGCAGAAAGGCCAAAGTTTGAACAGATAGTCGGAATTCTAGACAAAATGATTAGGAATCCAAATAGTCTGAAAACACCCTTGGGAACTTGTAGCAGGTAAGGATTACCTAAAGGAATAGAGTCTGGAAGAAACCCAACTATTCGCATTTGCATATACTGTTTGATAATCTACTCCAATAGTTTGCTGAGTTCTCTATTGAAATACAAAAGCTTGTATATTTCATAGTTTCTTTCCAGAAATCTACCCTATTTTTAATAGGTATGTATTCATCATTGCATTATTTTCTTAAAAATAGTGTTATATAGCAATGTCTTTCTTAAAAAGATTTCCTAATTGGATGTTTAAAAAATATTTTTACTATTTTCCATGATACAGTTTTGTAGATATTGGGAACCCCCCTTCCATTCCCCTTTTCCCTCTCTGCCATTCTGTTATCCTATCCACCCTGCCCCCCCCATATTATTACAGTAGTATAGTTACAAGTCAAACATTCTGCAACATTTCAGCAACAAGGATTACAGATTCAGCATTCTACGATTCACCTGCACCATGGTATTGTAGGTACAGACAAGGTCTAAAAAAATCTAGCATTATATTATTCAGGTACGGTGAACTGCTTCAGCTGGATTTTTTTTCAAAACATGGCTTTTTATTTTTTCAAAATTAGAGTGTTGGTTTTGTTTGTTGTCTTAAATGTTTTGTTGTTACTATGTATATGAATAGTATTGATTTTGCTACTTGATGGGGAATTGTTTAATAAAATGCTTCTGAGTTGAAATATATAAAAGTAATTCAATCAATGAATTAAAAGATATGCCTATTGCTAAAGTCCATTCATTCTTTGCATTTCACTTATGTCAGTCTAATGCATGTTAGTAGTGATTTAGCTTCGGGCTCCCGGTAAACATAACGGTTGTATTGGTAGCATGTTGGGCACTTGGGGAGTTGTATTAAATCCCTCCTCATCAATCTGTACTGATACAATGTGCAGTGGGTGTATCATGTTCTCAATAGCACCTGATGGTCTAAACAATTTAAAACACAGGTAAGTGTTTAGAAAAGCAAATATGTATTCACTGATTCCAAATGATTCCAAATCCTGCTGATGTAAAAACACAAGGAAAGTCCAACCTCAGAATCAACATTCCTATGTAAAACCGAAGTTCAAGAATTTGTAGATATCTGGCAACAGAACACTTTAAACTTTTGCTACCATATACATGTTATGTGTATAGCAAATCAAATATTTAATTTCATTCTGTGCCCTTGGAACAAGTTTGTTTTTTTTTCCTTTAGAGTTCACGAAAATATTCACTTTTTTGTTTTATTCTTATCAAGGCCAATAAGCCCTCTTCTGGATCAAAATACTCCCGATTTCACTACCTTTTGTTCAGTTGGAGAATGGCTACAAGCTATTAAGATGGAAAGATATAAAGATAACTTCACAGCGGCTGGCTACAACTCCCTTGAATCCGTGGCCCGGATGACTATCGAGTAAGCTTAAACTTCTGAACTTATTTTCAAGAATTAAGTAAATTATATATTTATTACATCAGGTATCCTTATATTAAAGGGAGATGAGCCACAAAATCAGAATGAAACCAATCATTTAATCAGTATTTTCTATTTTCCAGGCAGTATGCCAACTAGTTCTTTGCACACACATTATTAAACCGTCATCACAATAGTTTTATTAAGTCCATGATTTTGTACCTATGTTTCACTGTGATGAGGTTAAGGCTCAGATAACTTAAATATTTTCCTCAAGCTTTCTAATAAGCAAAAGTGAATGCAGCACATAGACAGTGTTCGAAACAGTATTCAGTGAGGCTTTTCTCTTTCATTAGCCATTCTTTCATTTAAGTTCGCATTCACCACCAAATTTCTTTCATTGCAAGGGAGAAGTTCTTGCACTGTGTTTTTATTAGGCATTTAAATTTCAATATTTTATTGCTGGTGCCAAAATGCATGAGAGCATGTAATATGATTACTAAGGACAGTGGACATGCTTAAGGAAGTAAGTAATGAAAGGTTAAGGAAGTTTAATTCAATTAACTATAGGTAAGAGTTTAACAAATTTTGCAAGGTGTAAGATTGACAGGTTCGTTTATTTATTTATCTGCCACACATTTCAATAAAACTACTTGTTAAAATGCTATGATCTTGAAGTTGAAAGAAGTGCATTTTCCTCTCTGGCTACCTCATTGACGATGTGGCACTGGTAAATCTATTTAACATCTCTGAATCACATTTTCTTTGGTTACAAAATAAATGGGTGATATAATCCCTTCAGGCCAATGTGTGCGGAAATGGGAAGCAAAATTGTCAGGGTTCTACTTAGGGAATCCTATTTAAATAGTTTCATTAGAAGGATTTCAAGATTTTCAGATAAAACAAAGCAGCTACCAGATATTCTTTTAGCATGCGCTACACTTACTATCCTGGTCGGTTTTCTTCTAGTCACCATGTGAATGGTGTTGGCATATTTACACTCATATCTCCAAAGGTAAACATTTATAACCCCGGAAAAGCTGTTTCTCAAGGGACTGGTGTGACGTACTACAGTGCAATAACATTACCCTTTTTAGCCACTTGTAAATTCATACATTTTAGGCTATTAGGAAGAGGAAAAACATGTAAAATACGTTTTAACTTACCTCAGATATACACCATTATCCTTAGTATTGCAATTTTTTTCCTACCACACAGCCAAATGATTGATATAAACTAGATTAAATTTATTCAATAACCAATAATATGCTCAAAACTATTGTACAATAATAAATTCATAACATTTTTGTGGTCATTAATACCTTACAAGTTTTTCCACTGAATCCCAGAAAAATGTTTCAAATTTAAAAATTTCAACCTCAGTTAGTTTCCAGAGTACAGCTTTCCTAATAACATTTTCTACTTAGCCTGCACTAATAATTTAAGTTTTTAGTACGGTCTTCTTCTAATCGGCTTAAAAATAAGCATAATGACAAATTGAGAGCCAAAACAGAGTTTGTAAAAGAATTCAGGTTGATAAAATTGTCAACAAGATCAGAATACCTAGGAACTCTAAGAATTGTTAGTTCAAGATAAACAGATTAGTTCATTAAATACTTGATGACAGTTTAGAAACATATAAATGCTCACTAAGTTACCTAATAAAAATCGCATTTGTCTTTTGCAGGGATGTGATGAGTTTGGGGATTTCGCTCGTTGGCCATCAAAAGAAAATCATGAGCAGCATTCAGACTATGAGGGCACAAATGCTACATTTACATGGAACTGGCATTCAAGTATGATAAGCATTTCTCCCTCAGAAGGAAGATCACAGACTGGGGAGGACATGCTGGCCTTCAGTGTGCGCTTAGAATGCTGCTAGAAGACGGTTGGCATCCTGCGTCCTTCCTACGTGAAGATTGAAGAAGCACCACAGACTTGAACTCCTAAGTGCCACCAGAATATATAAAAAGGGAATTTAGGATCCACCACCGGTGGCCAGGAAAGACAGCAGTGACAATAAACAAAGTACTACCTGAAAAACATCCAAACACCTTGAGCTCTCTCTAACCTCCTTTTTATCTTATAGACTTTTTAAAATGTACATAAAGAATTTAAGAAAGAATATATTTGTCGAATAAAATCATGATCTTATTGTTAAAAATCAATGAAATATTTTCCTTAAATATGTGATTTCAGACTATTCCTTTTTAAAATCATTTGTGTTTATTCTTCATAAGGACCTTGTTTTAGAAAGTTGTTTATAGTTTTGGGCCTTTTTAGTGTTGAATCTATCACATATTATTATACTACACTGGGTACCTTTGAAAGAATCTCAAATTTAAAAAAAAAAATGATAGCATGGTTGAAGATATATCTCCGTCAGGACATTGGTATCCTTTTTGTGCCATTTTTTCCTTTCTGTTTAATCAGTGCTGTTTTGATATTGTTTGCTAATTGGCAGGTAGTCAAGAAAAAGGCAAGTTGCCAAGAGCTCTGATATTTTTTAAAGAGAAGTTTTTTTGTAAGATCAGACAGACAACACACTATCTTTTCAATGAAAAAAAAAGCAATAATGATCCATAAATACTATAAGGCACTTTTAACAGATTGTTTATAGAGTGATTTTATTAGACAGAATTTAATAAAAAGAATTCAAATTTTAGGTTTAAGACTATGTAATGAAAAGAGATACAGCACTTCATCTAAAGTGTTGGTGAAGGCAAACCTCTGACAGTAGCAACCATCCAGTGTTACTTAAAGCTTAATGTGAGCACATCAAGATGTTTTCAGCCTTGTAACGTTAGGAAATTTAGGAGAAGCAGTTAACATATATTTTATATCCTTTTTAATGCAGTCCAAATATGAAAGGAAATCATTTTTATATTCGAACTCCAAACATGATGCAAGGGGCAGTTCACAATTTTCATGACCCAACAAAGATTTTTGCTGCACCGAATATCATTGCAGTTCAAAACAAAAATGTATTTTATTTGTGAACACAGATGCAAGAAACTTGTTAAATGAAACAGCTCTTTTAACCCCAGAAAAAAGAAGTGGTCTGACTTTTTTTTAGCTTTATTTATTAAATCATATTATTTGATTACTATGTTAGAATTTCATGAGCAATAATTAAATGTGTCTTTATAGATATTTCAGGAATGTATACATATTATGAATAATGCTTTCCAGAAAATCATGAACTACCCCAGAAATGAACTGTTGTACTTCCAAAGAGAATTGGGCTGTTTATAATGATTTTAATAGAGAAAGATCCCAGGGATCGGTCATAATTGGTCTTCTTTGATCGTGTGGACATCCACAAACAAGCAAACAAATAACAGAAACAAAATCTGTAAATGTTCCTTTGTAAAACTTGTAAATTTTATTTATACTGTCTTGTTTTGTACACACATTTCTCTGTAGTGAGCTCTGGATACATTGAAAATGCACTATATTTTTCTATTTTCCTTACAGAGCATCACAAAAGAACAGGTATTTTCAGTGCTACATAATGTGTTTTCCCACATTTAGGACCAAAGATGGCTATAGAAAAACTCAAATGGATTGCTTCCCAAACCCCTCCCCAACCCTTTTTTTCTTTTAAATCACTGTACAGTGTTATTTGATATTTTAATTTATTTTTGACTGATTAGAAAAGAATCATTTTAATTTCACTAAAATGTTTTTGTCCCTATGGAAAAATAATCTGTAAAATAATTTTAATTAGCATAACACAGTCACCTAGACACTTCCATTTGTAATCTTTGTAATAGACTGTAAATATATTTTTGGAACTATAACACAACGTGCTTGAGGGTTATTTTTCAGTGTCTGCAGTGTATACAAGTGTTTATACTAAGTCCAGCACTTTACAATTCTAAGCAGTAGCATTGGCCTTTGTGAGAATGAATGAAAGAGTTTGAGTGAGTGTTCTTAATTCCGTTTGGATTCTGGACTCACTAATAATGAAGTTCTTTTCTTGTTCATAGCTTAAGGTGCTTATTTTTTCTATTAAATTAACAAAAAGCCATTCTAGAAATAGAAGACATAGTATGGTACACACAACCGGTGTCTTTCCTGCTTTTTCTAGCACTAGCTTTATAGTTAAGTAGTCTTTCTTGACTAGAAGGGCAGAATAAAAGGGTTTTTTTTTTTTCCTTTGGTTTCCTTTTCAAAGATAACTTTTTCCTTCAGCAATATACCTCATCTGCCTTAAATTTTTTACAGCTCTTTACAGGGAAAGGGGAGAAGGGATGGGAAAGACACACAGCACAAAAGGAAGTGTGTGATTGCATCACTCTTTTGTTCGTAGGTTTGTTTTCCCAGTCAACATTATGATTTTGAATTATATGTATGTGAGATGAATTTAGTTAAGAGAAAAAGATAAACATTATAATGCCGATTGTAGTATTCTCTTCCAGAAAGAGATGAGAAGGTATAATGATAAGAATGTACAACTTGCACCTTGAAACCTTTTTTTTATTATTATTATTTCATAAATTAGTGCTCAGGGGAGGAAAAGTAGAGAAAACAGATATTACAAATATTCCAAAATTATAAAAACACAAATGGAAATGGCCTCCTTGCTTTAAAAGAGCCACCTGTTTTAGAATGCTGTCTTCACACTTGACCTGTGTTTTGCATTCAGTGCTGAAATAGAAGTAACTTTTGCTACATCCAATCTGACATTTTCTCAGCAGTTGAACTGGGCCTTGTTTATGAGAACTGGCGGTTTACGCTTCTCAGAGCACTATCAGTGGAGTCATATTGTATACTTATGTAATCTACATTAGCTAGTACTATTTAGGACTATATTTTGATTGCTCCTCTTATCCGTGTTTTTAAGAAATTAATATGGTGTAATCACCTCTCTTTTTTATTTAGGTAATGCTGATATTCTCCTTTTTATTTCCTGAGTAGCCTAGATCTATGCTACTCATTGATGTGCATGTTCAAATAAATTACTGATGTGTATTTTTTTGCTATATGTGAAGATATCATGGGGAATTCGGGGCGAGATGTGCTTTTTGTTGGTTGAATTTGTCCCTCCTTGCCTAAGAATTACTACAGGGGTCATCCTTTTATAAGGACAAACTGCTTTTGAACAGTGTCTTCAATGTATCAAGCACAAATAACTCTTTCTTCAACACAAATCATTAAGTCTCTTTCTACCAGCTTAAAATAATAAACAAGTCTATTAGACAATGTAAAGAAAAATCCTGTCTGCAATCATTGGTGAATTCCTTTATGTCCCTTACACATGCTTTATTCTCTTGCACAATATTATATGAAAAGATGAGTTTTCTTGAAATACTTCGATAGATCAATCAGAGCAAAAACTAAAATTAACATCTTTTGCTTTTCCCATCCTCTTGCTGTACAATGACTTAATTCTACCCTAATAATAGAGCAGTAAGATTATGTTTTCAGAAATTCCTACCATCAAATATTTTAGCCAAACATTTTGGTGTTTTTTGCTTCCCAAACCAGCTCCCACCCTGTGCTTAACAATAATATTGGTATTAAAAAGAAAATAATTAGTCATTGGGCCAGAGAAAATATTGTAAACATTTGAGATCATAAAGCAACATGGAGAACTTTCGCATTTTGGTTACTGAATTAAAAGCAAATTTAGGATATAAGGCCAAAGAAGAAAGTCTTAAGACTAGTCTGGAATATTTTATACTGGCTCACTGATTATCAAACTGATACCTGAAAGGGAAGAAAAAAAAAAATTAAAAAACCTAAATGTTCCCTATTCTGCACTGTTTTTTTTTTTAAATTTTAAAGATTTTCTCAATCATTTATTTGAAACGTAGAGCAAGACAAAGGAGAAAAAAAAGAGAAAGATATGACCTCATACCTCTGTTTCATTCCCCAAAAGCCAGGACGTGGCTAAGTTGAAACCAAGAGCAAGTACTTAAGCCATCACCTTCTGCTACCCAGGTGCATCAGAAGGAAGCTGAATCCAAAGTAGAATAGCAAAGACGGACAGCAGGTGTCCCAAGTCACAACTTACTCAGTGTGCCACAAGGCCTACCCTGAGAAACAGCATCCTAATAGCTAAAACCACTCAGCAAATACTTAAGAAAAATGACGCATCGGACAGACGCCCTGATAAGCTGCTATCTTCAACCTGACTTGCAAATGTAGGGTGAGACTCAGGCTTCACCAAAGAGACAAAGAAAATCTTGAAATCCTAGATTTTTGCTGGGCACCATTGATAGCCTAATGAATGATTTGGTGTCCAACATGAAGACATAAAAGAGGAAGAGAATAATAGTGAGCAACACTTAAGAATCTTATTAAGTGATAATTACAGCCTATAACACAGAAATTACCAAATTATTTCTTAATACACTTAATTAAGACAATTGTACCCTAACAGAAGTCTCAATTTCTCAGTTATGAAGCCACAGTTAAAAAGGATACATGTTCAAACATTATGTAAAATTAAATTTTATTATGTATGGTATGGTCATTAACATTTGCTTCATGAAACACTTGTTTCCTACCTTTGTATCACTAGCTTCAATGAAAACTTAATAGCAGTTTTGTAGAAAGGGGTATGTACAGGTGAAAGAGGCTATCAAACTCCTAAGTGCAAAAACCATAGATATTAGAAATGAAAAAGACAGCGAGTGGTAACTGGCCAATCTCTACACTGCCATAAAAGGCATCACATCCACCATGGCTTTGGGTCAGTGTGGTTGAAGTAGCCCTCAACTAGCTGTGGTCACCCTGTGGGCAACACATCTCAGCATAGCTTTCCAAACACAGTCAAGAGAATAAAATGATTCAATGGGAATGCTCAGTGAGCCTCAGTAGAATTAAATGCTGAAAGGGTATTTTTCTCAAGTTCAGTGACTGAGTATAATTAAAAATGTAATTAAATAATGAAAGACCTCTTCTGATTGACCTTGAGGCTAAAATAAATGTAACTAATTGATCGAAATTAATTGAGTCTATTGTAACAAGTTTAGTAAGTGGTAATAAGTGGCACTAGTGTTTTGTAGTCATAAAACAGACAAAAGGACTCCGAAATTTTATAATTAGGTGAGAATAATAATTGATACATTAATGTTATAAACCCCACTGAATAACAAATATTGCACCTTCAGACATAACTCAGAGTTTATAGCTCATTGTTTAAAATAGCTCAAATTCCTTTGCTGATTATGTTTGTTTTTCCTTTGAAATTCTGTAAACATGTAATTTGTAAATTAGAAATAAATAAGGAATATGAATCGTGTTTTTCAATGTGTGGTTAGTCGTAAGTTTTAACTTGAAGATGTGCGAAGGCCGAAATGAGCACATTTAAGTAATGCTGATTTTAGTTTATCAAAGGATTAATACAGTGCTCAAAGCTCAGCATTGTGCTGCATAACCAAAACTACAAAAAGTGAGTGACTAGCGAACTGCATGAAAAACAAATAGAAACAATTTAACTACATAGAACTAGTATTTGTATAAATCATATGCTTTTAAAATACTTCACAATTCATTGAAATGAGGCAAATAGCTCAAGAACACTTTTAAAATGTGACATGAATTTGAAGACACTTAGCAACTTCTGTACTGATAACATAGCCTCCAGAGCAAATTGCAACAGAAAGTTCTAAGCTGAACCTGATATTCCTCTGTCAATTTGCCAGAGACACACACAGTTTACATTTAAACCAGACAGAATCTCAGGCTAAGATGTGCTGCTTCCAAATGAAAGAAACTCACACCGTCCTGCAGCTCTGACATTTGCCCGAGGTTTTTCAGGGATCTGCTGGGCTAGAGATCTGTGGCCATGCCCTACTGGAAGGTCATGTTTCTACCTAGACTTTTACAGAACACTGAGATCCACGCATATTCAACAGACCCTGAGAAACGACAGAAACTGACCTCTGAGCAGCTCTGCTTAGCTTAGCCTGAGAAATGAACACGGGCTAATGCCCAAGTTACTGATGTTTCGTTAATTACTGTCTGGTAACAAACGGGCACCTGATAGGTTAGGTTCCATGTGGAGTCAGCAGAACAAGGTAGAATGAATAACATTTATATTCTTGCTGAAAAGTGGTCTTTCTATTTTTGTTGAATTCTTTGGTTGAGTAATGATTATAAAGTACTTTAAATTTACACTGTAGATTGTATTTCTAAAAAGGAAGAAAAGAGGAGGAGATGAGAAAATAGTACATGGTTAGCTATATCTATGTAGAATTTTTGAAAGATTTATTTATTTTTATTGCAAAGTCAGATATACAGAGAGGCAGAATGTCTGAAGCTGAGCCAATCAAGCAAGGAGCTTGGAGTCTCTTCTGGGTTTCCCACATGGGTGCAGGTCCCAAGGCTTTGGGCTCCCCTAGACTGCTTTCCCAGGCCACAAGCAGAGAGCTGGATGGGAAGTTGGACCACTGGGATTTGAACTGGTGCCCATATGGGATCCTGGTACAATCAAAGCAAGGACTCTTGGCTGCTATGCTACCGCACTGGGCCCTCTGTATAGAATTTGAAAATTGTAATTTTTATATTAAAATCAATTTTTAAATAAATTAAATAATAACCTTAAAAATCTCTTCTGATCCACTTACACAACAAATCCAGCAAGTGCCCAGAATATATTTAATAATTTGGAAACAAATGTATAAAGTTATACACAGAGATCCGTCATAACAAAGTTTAAAGTCATGTAAGAGAGACACTGAGAAGCTATTGGACATATAATCAAAGCAAAGATACACTGAAAGTGGTAAACTGAAGTCTGCCAGTGCTGCCTGAATTTGGAAAGACCTGTTCTTTATTTATGGGTCAG